AGTATTCTTTCATTTTTCCTTTCACAGCTTTTGTGTTCTTCTGGAATTTATGATAAACTCGAACATATTTTGTTACTTTTAATTAATCATTTAATTGTATAATTAGGTGATTTAAGCAAAAAGAAAATGTGTAATATCAATATTTATGATTTCCAATATTCCTTGTTCTTTTATATAGATCTGGAAAATTTTCATCAAGCTGTATATCAATATATCATCTAGTATCACTTGAGACATTTCCTTATATTTCAGAGTTTTGATTCTTCCATCTTGTATGTTTCCATATTTTCACTTAATGTTTTGTGAGATTTGGGGGGGGGGTGCAAGACTGCAGGTTAATAGATTTTTTTTCTGAGAATTTTACAGATGTTATTTCACTGTCTTATTTGTTTGGTTTCCAATGTGAATTCTTTTCATATTGATTTTGTTCCTTTGTATTTGATTTTTTTCCCTCACCTGTGCTGTTTTAAATTTTTACCTTTTAATTATGGAGTGCACATCACTAAATGAGACATCTATGACACTCACCTTTCTACATGCCTAAGAGAATGTTTTGGAAGAGGGGGTGGAAAGACTTTAAGAGTCAGCAGTTCAGAAGGACTGCTATGAATGTGTTTCCTTAACAAAACAAGGCCATTATATTGACAAAATCCCAACAGCTGTGATTGCCTGCACAAGACCTGTATAAGATGAAGTCTGTCAAAATTCCAGCATGGATGGGGAGAAGAGAGGTCACAATGTTGCCACCTCTAGCTGAGGAATTGTGGCAGGTGCAGGCTTCTGTGATAGGAGAGTCCATGTTCTTTGGGGAAGTAGTCTACGGTAGGTGATTAATGCTTCAGAAGTTGTCTCAACACATATGTACACACAAACAATGATAATTGGACTGAGGGTGTTATGAAAGGCAGACCTGAAGTTAGGAGGGGAGCTTGGTCCAGGGTGTCTAGGAGGAACCTGAGAAAATAGGGGATTGACAGATAAAAATACATTGTATACATGTTTGAAATTCTCAAAGATTGAATAAAAAAAAGAGGCTAATTTTTTTAAAATCAATTTTATGAAGAGTTACCTAAATGTAGTTTTCTTCTCATTTCCTGGACTCGGAGTTCATTGTCTTTCTTAGACCAAAGTATCTGTTGTTTATATTAGATTTAGAGTATTTTTTTTCACAGTTATCTTTACAGTTGTTGTTTTCTTTACCTTTTTCCTTGGAGACTCCAAGCATAGATATATTAAATCACTTGACCTTATCCTTACACTGAAGATTTATTTATGTTTTAAAATTACCTTTATAATGTTTCTTTATATCTTTCTTACCGCTACTTAATTTTCAAACATACAGAACACAGCTTAAATAACTATTTTAATGTCTTTTCTGATCATTGTAGCACTTTCTCATCTGTGTGTCATGGTCAATTGACTATTCTCATTTTAGGTTATGTTTTTCTTCTTTGCTCTTCTACTTCTTGAGTAGATTCCAGACGTTGTGAAATTTGTCTTCTTAGATGAGGGAGACTTTGTATTCTTGAACTTTGTTCTTGGCTGCTAAGATACTTGGAAGTAGTTCAATCACTTTGGTAATGATTTATGATTTCTAAGGTGTTTTTGAGCAGTGCATATCTCAGGACTAATTGATCTTACTTTGAAATAAGACCTTACTGAGTTCTCTGCTAAATACTCCATGAGTTTCTCCAGTCTGGGTTGTAGAAACAGTGGTCTATGAGTGAGTATTGTCCCTTCAATCATCTCTAAAGTTCTTTCTGCATGCATGTTCTGATCAACACTCTGAAGAATGTTTGCGTGATCCTCTGTAGATATTGTTTGTGCAGTGTTTACTTTCTAGTACTCCAGAGAGCACTTATTATCTTGGTCTTTCCTAGTCTTCTCTCTGACTTCTTAATTTTGGAGGATAGCTAAAAGATCTAGGCTACCTTCTTACATCCTGCCCCCTTGCATAGCTCCTTTTTTCAAGGGACAAAGCTAGAAAGTCATAAACTTCATATCGTTAATGGCTATCTCTTAGCACCTATGTCTTGTATAAAACTGTGGAAAACACTGATTTATTTCATATTTTGCTTTCTTGTTTTTTCAGCCTGGTAGGCAATTCCAATCCATTTATCCATTTTGGCTAGAGGTAATAAAATTCAATTTATAATTCAGGTAGAAAATTCATACATTTTTGGAATGTTAATGTCAATTTCTAGCTCTGTATTAAAAACTGAGGATATTGATGCATAAGAAATTAAATAATTTTAATACTGTCATGTAGCATGAATCTTAAAAGGTCTTATTAGTAAAAACAAACCCAGAGTCAAGTATTGGGGTGAATGCTGAAAGTTCAGAGAAGCAGAACAAGCCACAGCTAACCTCACCTCGCCACCTCCTCAGCTGATCCTGTTTCCTCAGACTGGAAAGCCTCTGTGTCCTCATACAAATGGATCTCAGCTGAACTGCTGCTCAAAAGCCTAAAAGAATAACAAGGCTCTAGTTCCTGTTGCTCACGCCTTATATACCTTTTTGCTTCCTGCCATCACTTCCTGGGATTAAAGGTGTGTGTCACCACGCCTGGCTATTTCTAGTGTCTTTGAACTCACAGAGATCCAGACAGATCTCTACCTTTGAACACTAGGATTAAAGGTGTGTGCTACCACTGCCTAACCTCTATGTTTAATATTATGGCTGTTGTGTTCTCTGACCCCCAGATAAGTTTATTGGGGTTCACAATATATCAACCACACTGTCACATAAAATTAATAATAGTTCTGATATGGTTGTTGTTGCTATTTTACTTTATTTAAGATTAAGGATCTGTCTTCTTATTCTTATGTTTTAGAATTTTTTGTGTATATTTTAGTTATACACAATTTGAAAGGAATCTTTGCCAGACTTAATTTTGATGTAAAAAACTGAACTTGGAGACCTCATCATTTTTTTTATGAAACCAGAAGGCTTCTATGGGTTTGGAGGAGAAAATAAAAAGAATTAGGTGGCACCAATTGTTTCCATCCTCCAGTTCCTGACCTTTAGTAAACAGAAAGCAGAAAAATCAAATGGTGGTCTTAGAAAATAGCCTACTCTGTTAATGTCAGTGTATTCATATTTACCAACAGAGATCGAAGGAGAGGGTAGGAGATGGTTAGACAGATAGATGGATAGATAGAGAGAGGAGGGAGAACCCCTTCTAGATAAAGAAAAAAAGCACAAGAGACTGGTAGCTTCAGTGTAGTTGAAAGTTACAAAAATCTCTGTGGAGATGAAAAGCATACATTTATTATTCTTGTGCCTAAGACAGTCAATGGTTTTCCGGGTCATGGGCTCACAATAATTATGCAGAAAATGTTTAAGATAAATGGAAGTTGAGCAAGAGAAAAAAGAACTTGTGGACAGTGGTCATGCTTTGAAATGACTTGTTTTTATTAATTTGATATTCCTTCAGTTTTTGCTTCTATGGTATCACTGATGTTAAAAAAAATCGAAGACATTGTTTCATATGATAGCTTAGATCTCTAGTAGAGGCCACTAGCTGAAAATATTTATCTAAAGGCCAAAGCTTGGCCATTCTAAGGCAGCATTTTAACAGAGTATTGCACAAGTCTGGCCTTGAAATAACAACAATAACAACAACAAAAAATCTGAGATAAATGTTTGGTTTCTCAAAGTCAAACCTTTTTTCCTTTATTGTGGTCTTTTTGTCTTTAAGTTATTGATGGGCACTGTATGTGCATATATAAAAGTCAGAATTAAATAATTGTCTAAGTTTGTCTACGGAATCATTATCTCAAGAATCATGTCTCAGGAAAAATGATCTGCAGCTATGTATGTAGCGTATATCCGTAATCTCAGCACTTGGCAAGCTGCGGTCAGGAGAATCATGAGTGTGAAAGTCTGTGTTATATATGGCATTACAAGTTACCTTGTTGTATGTGGTGGGACTGTCTCAAAATAACCCAACAAACTAAAGGAAGTTTACTTACGAAATAAATTCTGTAAGTACATTTTCAGGTGTTAATATAGTTGTATTTTTTAATTAATTTTTAAATAAAATAATACATCATTTCCCCCTTCCTTTCCCTCCATGCTAAACTTCTCATATGGTCCTCCTAAATGCATAAATACAATCTGCTCAGTCTTTATAGTGTTACTTGTATATGTGTTTTCTGAGTTGGCCATTTGGGTATTGGATAATATATTGGTGTGCTCTTCCCTGGGAAGGACTCTCCTGCTCTCAGCATTCATCAGTTGCTTGTTGTAGGAAACAAACAAACAACAACAGCAATAAAGATTGACAGGCTCTTGGCCCAACTAACAAAAAAGAAAAAAAAGAGCGGGGCGGGGTGGGGCGGGGGAGGGAGAGGAAGATCAAAATTAACAGAGTCAGAAATAAACAGGGAAATATTACAGTAGATACTAAAGAAAGCCAGAATATTATAAGGGAATACTTTCAAAACCAAAAAGCAGGGAATGAACTTTTAGATTCAGTCATAGTTGTATTTTTTTCTTAACTAAGAGCTGTTTTAAAGACCCTGAGCTATTCAATGATGTTAGTTTCCCAAGGGTAATCTTGTATATTTGCCAAGTTAGTAGCTCAAGTACTGTGTCTTTCTAAGAGCTGTTCATGCACTGTCCACTGAAATGAGAGAAATTAATAGAAAATCTCTACTCATGCAGGAAATACTACCAATAAGTAATAAAACACTGAAATTGTATTTTGGGGGACAAAGAGCAGAAGCCTGATATGGGTGGCATAAAGAGGAATTAAGGGTTCATTTTCATTTCCTTCTATAATAATTGCATAAGAAGCTTTTTATTTCATCAGGAAGTAACTTAGCAATGGCCTTCTTGACTTTTCCTAATCACTTTATTAATGCTTTGAGCAGACTTTAAAAAATGCAGTGGTATTAGTATCTGAGGAGGAAAACCTTTATTGTTCATAAATTACCAATTCACTATCCCAATTGCAGTTGAGTTTTAATGTTTCCTTCCTAGAAAAGCCCTAGTACTTGGTCTTCGAGGGGCAGTGCTTTACTCTGGGGAGCAAGCTGAATGGCTTAATGTGTCCTTCCAGCTTTAATTTCTGTAATTCAGGAAAGCCTCATAAAATACAAGCTTCCTTTGTGAATTAACTTTTTCTGAAAGTATTTAAGCCACTTTCTTCTCTTTGGAAAAACTTAAAAAGTGTTTAACAATATTAGAAATATTTACTGAACCCATATTGAAAAATAACTGCTAAGTTAAACTGAATGGTCCGAGTGTAATTCTTCCAAAGCGTACAATGTCTTCACCCCCATTCCAATTCAGGGAAGCCATCCTCCACAGCAGCAAGCAATACATGGGAAGAGAACGCTTTGCAAAACAAAGTTAAGTGAAGCTAATAACTAGTCACCGAATACGCGTTATGCAGGAAGCAAGGGCTAATGCACCGCTGTTAAAGGAACAGAGCCTTTACAGACATAGAGCATGCCATTCCTATTTCAAGACTGGTAGTAGATGTATCTAAGAATTTCCTGAAAATTTAGTATGCTCCAGAGGGAGTAAAAATCTTATCACAAATATATCACAGTGACTTACTGTATTTGATAATTATGAGGAGACAAAAAAAAGTTTATCATCATAGGGTAATTAACTGAACACAGTGAGTCATGAATTTCAAGCTCAAAGTGTGAATCAAAAAGAACTAAATCTACCTTTGCAACCCCTGACCATCCTGCCCAGCACTTTCAGTTAGTTAGCAGTCAACTAAAACAAAGTATGCATGGAAATACTATGCAACATTGTTACTTTATAATCTAACTTTCAAAACTAAATGTAACTTTTTTAAAAAGAGTAAAAATCTTTCTCCATGCATTTGGGTTCTATACAATACAATATCATCTATAAAATTGTACAAATGTGCCTTTGTGTCTTTGCTAGAGATTCGCAACATGCATAAATACTGGTGACACCTACTTAAGGAGAGTAGATATAATTTTTATGCCTATAATTCTAAACCAGCCTGAAATTTTATTTAGGTAATATCAATCAATCAAAAACTATTTAATAATAGTAATGAATCCACAGGATTCATGTTTTGTGGCTTCCTCCTCAACAAAAGATGTGAAGAGATTTCCAGTCACCTATTATTAATAAAATATCATTTTATTGTAGTTTATTGAATCATGTAATTAACTTTTAGTGCAGTTCATCCCAAACTTCAGCTGTAAAGCTTCGCCATAAATAAACAATAACTTTCAAAGTTAACCCAGTATCCAGGGAAGCAAGCTCCTTCTGTTAAATTAACTTTTCTGAGAAAGTATTTAAGCCACATTCTGTACTGAATGATTGATAATAGATAACTGAATAGTTGAAAAACAGTCTATGGATGAAATAGAACAATATTATCTATAAAAAGAATAAAATTCTGATGTGTACCATCATGGATGGATCTTAGAGAAATTATTCTAAATAAAATGAACAAGACACAAGAAGACATGAATGGGTTGATTTCATGTAAGAAATGTATAGAATAGTTATACTGTGGAAACTACAAGCAGATTATGGGTAAATCCAGATGTTTCAAAAAATTGATAACTTTTGCAAAACTACTAATTATCTTGTTGTCCGAGTGAATAATTTTACAGTCTAGGAATTTCTAACAAGCTAGTATTTTTGTGTACATTTATTTCAGAATTAAAATGTGAGTTGATGATTCTGACAAGATACTTATAAAAAGCTCTACTAATCTGTCCTTCCAAGAATACATTGCGACATTTCAGCTTTTAATTACAGTATGACCAAACGATTTCCAAGTTGTTATGGTCTGACTGTGAAGTGTCTCTCCTGAAAGCTCATGTACTAAAGTATCTGTTCACAGCTGGTGGTGTAATTGAAAAATGATTAGATTCACTGATAAATTTGTAGTCGGCGGGCTATTAGGAGGTGGACTCTAATTAGAGGAAATACGTCACTGAGCGTTGAGACTTAGAATGATATGCTGCGTGCCTAGCCCCTTTATTTTGCTTTCTTTTTATCTGGCTGCCACGAGGGGACTAGTTTTCTTCTGCCATGTTTTGTTTTAATTTTTATTTGCAATGCTTTATACTCATCTTTGTTTTTTCCATAAACTCCGCTCTCTTTTCTTTTTATTTACTTTTAAATTTTTATTGTTTGAGAATGTAATACATGCATGCAATGAACTATGGCCATACTTACTCCTATTCTCTTCTACAGCTCCCTAGGGTCCTCCCCAACAGATCCTCCTCCAAATTTCATGTCCTCTCTCTCTCTCTTTTTTTTTTTTAAATAGCCTACTAAATCCATTTAATGGGGGGGGGAGTCATCCATTGGATCATGGGAAGCTTCCCAGTGGTCATGCCCCCCAAAGCAGACTAATTTTCTCTCCTCAGCATCCATCAACTGCCAACAGCTTCTCATAAAAGAGTGGCACTTCATGAGCTCCTTCCCACCCAAAGTGGTTAGCACAGATAACCTCAGCTGCTTTAACTTCATGAGTGTCGTAATCATGTCATGTCCAGAGATAGCTTTTGTTTCTGCCTTGTCACAGGCCTAAGAAGGAAGCCAAATGACCCTGAGCTAAAATCTCTGAAACTGTGAACACAGAATATACCTTCTTTATAAGTTGTTTACATCAGATACTTTTCATAATCTTACACACACAATTATGTATTATTAACGCATGTATTAATAACCAAGTTGGGAAACTAATTTACACTCACAATTATTATATTCTGGTTAAATGAATTAAAAAAACTAATATTCCATTGGAGTAGATGTTCTATCCTTCACGACACCTATCGTTTAGGTTCCCTGTAGACTCTTTCCCCCACTACCAACCAGACAGCTTCAGGACACTGAGTCCAGGCTGTGATTTCAGGCCCATTTCTCTATTTTGTCAGGACTGTCCACGAGCCCTGTTGTTTGGAGACCAACAGTGGCAACGGTAAGACACGTTTTAAAGATTTCTTCTTGTCTATCTTTGATGTCTGAAGTAATAACCATTTGAAATGTGTTGCTTCCTTTATGTGGGTGAATTGGATTAAGTTTTGGATCCCCAAATAATATTTTCTTGGAAGGGGAATTATATCTTCTAGTTGTTTTGATGCAACTCTAATGTAACAACCATCACCTGGTACAGTATCAATATTTCACCTATACTTGTTTCCTGCTTTGTTTTTTTTCCTAGCACCTTGTAGTTGATTCTAGTACACAAGCTGTACCAAACACTCACAACTGATTTTGCCATGTACCTTCAACCCCATGATCTTGGGTGTCTACTTCCCTTGAATCCACTACATTAACTATCAGACCTTAGACTGATTTTGTCCAGATGGCTCTTTAGTTATTGCACAGTATAGACTCAGGTCTCAAGTGATCTGCTCTACAGTGTGCACTGACTATCCATACCTACCGTCTCAGAATCTCTCCATCCCATCCAGGATCAGAGTTTTCACCTTTCCTGCTCCCTAGGATATTTAACCCCACTAAACCTGCAAACATCTTCTGTGATGGATTCAATTAGCCATCCCCCACAGAAGTCCTTATGGCAATATAGGCATATGTCATAGTGGGTAAACTTTGACTTGTCCAAATTACAATCCTAAATTCACTCACTCATTACTATAATGTAGGCTTTATAAAATATGTAATTAATTGGTAAATAGGATATAAAGATGGGTATTTTAGCACAATAAGGAAAATACAAATATATACTCACACTGCAATATTATGCAGGAATAAGGGAAATTCTAGATCTATATATCATGGTGAGCTAAGTTTTTCACATCAGGCTGCTTTTGTAATAGTAACAACAACAACAACAACAACAAAAACCCTGTAGGTGTTTTTACTCTAAATACTAAGTGTTTCAGCTGCTTGCCATCAGAATGTGTTTATGAATTCTTTGTACAAATAAAAATAAGCAAAAAAAAAAAAAAAATCTAAGAGTGACCTGTATTCATCAGATTTAATGCCATGTTCACTGAAACATAATGATTTGTTCCCAATGGTATGAAAAGGAAGGAAGTGTAAGATGTCTTACCCCATGAACATCTTTGTGGTTCCATAAGTCGGGACCCCATCAATTTTCAAGAATGCCCAAGGAGTGTTGAAGGAAAGACCAGTTTTCTCCTATGTGCTGGGTAAACATGACTATTTAAGGACAATGTATATTGGTGGATGACCAGACTCACTTTATAGCCAGTCAAGCCTCATTTTCACTCACAGATCAGCTCGGTGCTTATCAGAGCTTGCTCTGGCAGCTTTTGTGCTCATTTCCAGAGCTGTAGTTTTTCCCAAAACAACCCGTAAAATATCTTATGAATTACAGAAAATTCGCACATTTTATTTACTCATTATAAAATAAACAAATATAATAGTCCTTTATATTTCTTCCATAACGTTCTTTTTCCTTGATAATACAAGAAATTGGTACTTTATCATTTCTGCTGGGACACAAAGTATGGTGGGAGATAACTTAGAACAGGATATCTTAAAGGACATTTTAAAATGTATTTAAATAAACCAGACATATTTTATTTGAAAAATGCCTCAGTCATCTAGATACACGATGCCATTAGAGGAGATTTCTACTTACTAGATCAATTTTCCTGGAGAAACTGCGTATCTGGGGATATCATGTGCAAATGTTTCCCAGAAAAAAATGAAATGATATTCATTTTAAAAATAAATAGGGTTTCTCAGTGGTCCTCTATTGAGCCTTACATTACAGAATGAGCAACTGTGTAAAATTTCAGATTTGTCTTAAAAATGAAAGACTCAGCTGTAATCAGCTTACACATGATCCATAAGCCTCAAGTGCGGAGAGAGAAAGGCCCGGGAGAGCAGATTCATCTTGTTCTGAATACGAGTTGTTATTCCACCCAGCTTTCTCACAAAGCCTTCATCCTTAAATGTGTAAAGATGCAATCTGAGATGTCCTCCGAATCCTCTTTATAAAGATATAAGAAGGAAGCATTTGGTTGGCCACAGGAGGCACTAAATGCAGTCCTTGTAGCTTGCCCTTGTTCCTGTGAGCACCGCCATAGCAACCCAGGAAGGCTGGAGCAACGCCTGGTGAGGAGAAAGCTTTCCATTTTAAAAACACAGTTACGTCCTTAGACCAGTGTCAATGAATTGATTTTTCTCTGAAGGCTGATAGTTATTCTACCAACCATAAGGGTGAAGAGTCCTTAGGAAAATGAAGGCTCTCGTGGGTGGGAGATCAGACCCTGAACCATCAAATATACCCGATTTATTTGCAATTTCTCTTGTAGTTAAAACAGTGTGGCTTGAATGTTGGGGATTATGAAATGTTAAAAACACAGCAACATGGTTCTGAGGGTAGAAATTCTTTCTGAGTAAGCTGGTGACCAGAGATCAATCTAGGGAATCCACACAAAGGTGGATGAAGAGAAACAACGCCACAAAGTTCTCATCTGACCTCCACAAACATGCCATGGCAAGCATACACCCACAGACACAGATGCTCACACACACACACACACAGACTCACACACAAACACACTCACATTCACACATAAACATAAATAAATAAATTTTAAAAGATAATGCAGTACTTTATTTAACATTACTTTAAAGTTAGTGTTTTGTGTTTTATTATTAAATAAATGATTTTAAATGGACTCATCATTCTGAAATTATTTTCGAAATCAGCATTTTATCTACATTGAACCACTAATGAAGTCTGAAATATTTAATAGATCAATTTCTGAGAAACTCAAGATTTTTATCTGTTGCTGATGTCATGCTGCAGTTGCAGATGACACTGTCCCCAATAGCTCTGGAGTCTCCATTCGCTGAACTCATTCTCTTGAGTTGGACACAGGACTCAATGAACCTTGAAAAATTAATAGAATTATTTACTGTAGAATATTTAAAGCTATCTATTCATCCTTGATTCCCCCGCCAAGCCTATGAACTATACACTTTTGTTTCAAGTGATGAGTTAACAGACTGAGGTCAGAAATAACTTTCTATGGAGTCACACCAACTCCCCTTAACATCAACCGCAACACTCTATTCTTTTGATTGGCATGCTTTACATTCTAGCAGAGAACAACACCACTCATCTTTGTGTATGTGCGGCACTTGGCAATATTTCTTCCACATTCTAAATGCTCAACCCCTGAACAGAACGGTGAAAAGCAGAACTCACATCAGCTTGTGAGGGAGCCATGTTGTTGATGACATCCTCTTGTTTATCTGAAACTGAGATG